TGTAGTACTCGCCGGTCACGCTAACGACGCTGTAGAGCTCGTTCATCACTTGGTTCGCGCACAACAAAGCGTACGGTACCATGACTTTTCCTATCTCCCCATAGTCCTTAATCGTGTACGCGTTCGTGTTCCTGATCGTGTTCACGTTGGTGCCGTCGGGGTTCACGCTGCACTCGTTGTAGCCTTGCTGGTAGTACTCGGCGTACACGTCATAGTTCCTGTAGCGGTTCCGGTGCGTATTGGGGTGCGTATTGGGCTTCCTTCTACTCGACCACACTGCCATGAGCTCGCTCTCGTCACTCTCAACGTACGGTAGTTCCTTTCTCCCACGGCTCGCTTCCTTGGAGGATAAGGCGTCTCCAAGGGCAAGTTATTCCTTGGTCTCCACTTTGTTGCCAAGGGCCTGCCACGGTCTCACCGCCATACTTCCTGCTCCTGGGACCAAGATCATCCCGCACAAAGTTGCGAGGCTTCCCAGTGCGAAACCAACCAGCAGCACCATACATGCTGCCAACCCGTAGCACTTCATGTTCCTTTTCTCTTTCTCTTCCACCAACACTCGGTCGGGGTAGCAATCGCTGCAAGCGTCAAAGTCTCGCGCATTTCCTGCTGTCACGTTGTGGTTACGAAGGTGTCCACAACCTCTGCGGTGGTACTTTGTTCCTGAACGGACTGCGATCCTGAGCGTGGGCATGTTGAGCACTGTCTCTGTCTTCTTGGTGATCTGCTCATTCGCGCGCATCTGCTTCCATCCGGCAACGAGGCAAACTGCCTTGGCGCCGAGCATCATGGTTCCTATGGCTACGAGTAGCATCATCGCTGCCAAGGAGGTTCCTGGAGGCAGCTCCGCTACCATGTTAAAGAACGGGCTTCACTAAGCTTCCTACTCTCAAACTGAAGCGGTCACTTTTCCTTGTGGGTCACTGTGTCCGCTGGTCTCGAGCCTTGCACGTCGCGTGTGCGTGACGGCTGTTCCTGTACATTAACTGCACTGCACTAACTGTGTTACTGTTCCTGGCAAGATGTTTAACAAGGACCCAAATGGAGACCCTACACCGGCCTTGGGGGCCATCTTGGAGGGCTGGTGGCTTGGGAGCGCTATGGGGCAGGCCAACACTTGGCAAGAATGGCTGCAGCATCCGCACACCATTCAAGAATCTCACGCAAGGTCTCGTTGACTGTCTCTATCTCTCTCTCTCTCTCTCTCTCTCTCTCTCTCTCTCTCTCTCTCTCTCTCTCTCTCTCTCTCTCTCTCTCTCTCTCTCTCTCTCTCTCTCTCTCTCTCTCTCTCTCTCTCTCTCTCTCTCTGCAAAGCGAACCGGCCACATTGGCAAATTAAGAAAGAAATGGTGCAAGCCACATCGGCCGATATATATATATATATATATATATCTACATACATAGAAGATGCAAGCCACTCTGGCAGTACAGATAGGGATATGTACATAAATCTGTATGTGTATGTATAAGTATAAACATGTATGTATATATATATAACATACATGCATAGCCTGTATTTATGGACATATAGTGGCCACATTGGCACTCTGTAGCAAAACTTCAGAGATGCAACATTTACACAAACATATGTATACACAGGTATATATCATATACATGTACATCTATAGAAATTTCTACACGATTGCAGAAAAAAATACCTTCATAAAACAACTGCTTATATATATATATACACATGTGTATATGCCTGCAAGCACATGTTTTCACACCGTCCAGGCATGCTCATGGCTGGTGCAGAAGCTCTTTGATTATTCTGGTGAGATCAGCATTGGAGCCTTGGTCACCATGGGTGGCTTCATGCACAGCCACCAGTTGAGCTCGAAGCCAGTTTTGGAAGGACGTGGATGCTGTGGATGGCTCCATGGACACTTGGAACTCCTCCATGGTCTCGTGGGCATGGAGGAGAAAGGTCCGCACCCGGAGGCTGGCACCGAACCACATGGGCACCCACTTTGGGTTCAAGCGGAGAGGAGTGCCGGTTATGCCGGTGGTGCCGCTGGTCCTTTTGCCCGCAAAGTGGTCCTGCCTGGCCGAGCATCTGCTGGAATGGCTGCCACCTTGGCTGCACTTCCTGCAGCATTTGGTTTGGCCCAAGTTGGCAAACCGCTGGCAGCCTGGAGTTTCGCATGGCTCAGGGGCGGCTGCAGGTGCAAGCTCCATGATGGATTGCTGTGGACAGCCTCTGGCCTTGTCTGGCAAACAGCTGCTGTGCATGGACGAAGAAGAATTATACCAAACATCGCACAATTCATGCATGCTGTCCATTCATGGAAAAGCCACATGGCACACGCATGCAACAATGCACCCCTGCCCTTTCAGGAAACACCTTTGCGAACCTTTCTTCTCCAGCAAAACTCTGGCGGCTGGCTTCAAAACCCGCCATGGTCTTTGGGTCTTTAAAGTGGAGCCCGCTCCCTTGGGGCTGCAAAAGCTCTTCACTTCTTGGCCCTCTTGGAAGGAGGCTCAGACTGCTCTTTGGCCTTGGCCTTGGCCTTGGCTTTGGCTTTAGGCTCGGCCTCTGATGGCTCTGGCTCGCTGTGGTCTGCTTCGGAAGCTTCGGCATGGGCCGCCAGGAACAAAAGCGGCTGGTGCTGTTCCAGCGGAGCAGGATTCTCCAAGCATGGGATGGTAATCCCAGACTCGACGACCGTGGAGTGAACCATGGTGACCTCGGAGGTCTCGCTCGTGGGCTTGCACCAGAAATATGGAATCAAGCAAAACGCACTGTCTGCTTCGAACTGCGCATTCTGGCGGAACGGCCCAATGGTCCAGCTGTGGCCGCCGTGCTGGATGAGGAGCTTCGTTTCCTTGGCGGTCGACTTGGCTTTGTTCACCGTGCCCAGTGGAACCAAACGAATGGTTTTGCGAATTGTCTTGATGGCAAACAACCCCTGCGGGTTCTGGCCGAAAGCGATGGTCTGGGCATCCACATGGTGCTTTTCCGCCGCTCTGTGGAGAGCCAGCTGGACCTCCGACCTGGCCCGCTCCTCCAACAGAAGCTTCGCCGTCATTCCTTCCCTGGCAAGATCCTGGGGGCACAACATCGGCATCATGGCCTTGGTGGCCTTCCACATTGGCAGCTTCTGCAATGGCACATGGACTTCTTCCTCATCTTGGAAGAGTGGCTTGTGAGTCATGGTGGCATGGTCGTCCGTGACATCCGTCAGCTTGAACACCTTGGCACCGTGGTCCTTGGCGGTGTACCTCAGCACTTGGCATCAAGGAATCTATCCACATCTGCATATTCCTTGCCTATATGCTTATGTATATTCTCTTACAAGGATATTCTGGCTATACGCCAATTGCTAGCTTCCGCTCCAAGCAACAACTTGCCCAGTTCCATGTGGTTGTTTTGGAGCATGGCAATGGTCTTGTTGCTGGCCGCCAAGACATCCGTCACCTGCATGTTTGGAGTCATGCTGTGGTCCGCAATGGCATCGCCAGCCGAGCTGTCTTGGATCTCCTTGGTGTAGGCAGTCAAGATGGCTTGGAGAGATTGCCAGTGCTTGGTTTCCCGGCCTGCCCTTCGTTTGTTCGTGAGGAACAAACAAACTCTGACTGCAAATCGACCAAAGCATTTGGTTAAGTGGGACGCATGGTGGGTCTGCTCCACAAGAAGATCCTGTTGGACCTTCCAAGCCTCTTGGAGCATGTTTTCGGCTTGGGTAACTTGGTCGAGCATGCCTGGTGCCTTCAGTTTTTGGAGATCGTTGGTGGATAGGATGCGGCTGAACCCGTCTTGGGATTTTGGGCTGGTCAACATGGTAGCCCATGCCGCCACACGAAGCATGGGAAAGATGCACGTCGCTTGCTTGAAATCTAGCGACACCAGGGTGGACATCAGCTCGGTTCCCACCAGAAGTGTGGCATTAAACTGCTTCCCAAAATTGGCAAGGAAATGGAGGAGTGGAAACCCCTGGCTGCCGCCGCCGAAGTTCTGGACGAATTTGGCGATGGCGGGGACACTGGCACGGCATCTCACGTCGCCCTGGCTGGCCTGCTGGATGGCATCTGGAAGGCTCAAGCCCTTCTCAAATGCAGTGGCCACATGGAGGGCAACCTCCAACTCGTTGATGGCTTTGGATATTGAGTTGGACGAGTTGGCAGCATGCTGAATAAAGTTGGGAAGTTGTGGCATGGCTTCTTCAATGGATGCTGCCAGCACGATCCAGCACCATCCTTGCTCGATCGCTCGCCATGCTGGGTCCGACTTCGCGATGGCGACGTGATAGCCCTCTGGTCCTTGGATGCCCGCCTGGAGGCAGCGGAGAAAGGCCACACTGTGGCTCCCTGCAAGGGAGAGGAAGCCTGAGCGGCAGGGAACCAAACATCTACACAGGGCTTATATAATGGTCTATAAACACCAAACAATTTTCAAAACATTATAAGCATGCATGAGCCAGGTGCCTTCCTGGCTGGCTGCCCTTGGACCAGACGTCGTAGTAGGACACCATGGACTTGCCTCGGTTTTCTGGGTGTACCAAGATCTGACTTGGAGTCAGAACTTGGTCGTGGGCAAGGCCATGTGTCCTTAGAAGTTGGACGATCTGGTCCACTTTCGTATTCACTGGAGCAGTCGAGGACATCATGGCTTCCACTTCTTGGACCACCTTCTCTGGCACACCAGCCATGGCAAGAAGCTTGGAGTGCTGGCCAAAAGTGGCAAAAGCAAAACTGGGCAGTCTGGGCCCAAACTGATGGTATAGAAACTTGACGTCTGGACAAAGCTTCCCTCTTACTCCATAATGCATGGCTTAGTCGCAGAGGCGCTTTTTTCAATCCCAAGCGGTGGGTCGCAGCTGCAGTGGTCGGAAGCCTATTACTGCTTCTTCTTGGCCTTCTTCTTGGGCTGCTGCATGTGGGCCTCCAATTCTTCAACTTTGGCACGAACGTGGTCGATGATGGCACCGATGGTGTTGCTCTCCAGTGGCACTGCCAGGTCTGCAGCCTTGGGCCGGCGGCGATCTTCTGGGAGCAGGCATGGAATAATGGTGTTCCCCACGTGGATGTTGATAGTTTCTGGGAGGTTTTGGAGCCTGTGACGCCTGGGCTGCCTCTGGGGTTCCCCATCCTGGTCTTCGAAGAGTTGGTTGGCCTCGTCGCCCTGGTCCTCGTCGCCGTTGGCATAGCGATCCATGGCCTTGTTGCGAAGCTCCTGCAACTTCTTGAAGGGCTCGTAGAAGGTCAAGCTGGCTCTGCTGGGATTTTTGGCCCCTGTGAGCAGTGCACGATGGGCAAACTGGAGGCTCGCATCTGCAGAAACTTTTGGCCACTGGAGCTTTCGACAATCAAGTACTGGGGAATGGTGACGCATGGCTCGTTTTGGTATTTCAGGACGACATGGCTGTCAATGGTGACCATGGCTTCTGCAGAGCGGGAGAACGGGCAGGCCAAATTGGATGGTTTGGGTTTGGAAACCTCACGAAAGTATCACAGAATTCTCACAACACTCATGTTGCATTCCTGTATCAATATCAACTTTCCAGCCACATGGCGATCTACCACTTGCAAGCCAACATGGTTTCCGGCTTTCAAAAAAAACTCGGTCTGTGGTTTTGGCATGGTTACGAAGCTCATGGCCAAACCTGGCAATTGGACTTGCAACAGAATCTCTCCAGGTTCGTTTCAAAAATCGTTACGAAAATTTGTGTGCATGCAGAAATATATCTATACAGAAAGCTTTTCCTGCTAGCCACAAAGGCATGTCCACTATACCAAAAACGGATTACAGCTCTATAAAAAAACATGTCAACACATAGAAAAACATATACATAAAACCTTACCTAAAAAGTTAAAAAAAATATAACTAGTTAGCGGACTTGACTTGACTTAGCTAAAAAACTGATTTTATTACTAACATGACATAACACATAACATCTTTTAACCATTATTATACAGACTTAACACATACATACTTATTATCGTTCAAACATCGTGCTTTGTGTTTTGATGTCTATCATGTTTGAACCTTCAGGGATGAATGCTTGCACTCACACATGTCACATGCAAGAAGTTCAAAGCTCGACGCTATTTTCACACGGTGGGGTAGCAAGTACCGCACACGGCAGATATCTTCGAACTGTCGGTCCTGTGAGACACAAGACTCTTTTCGTCCCCTCCGAAAGGAGAACTAGCCACTCTCAAGCCGTGCACGGCTCACAAACTGAACCTTAGTGAACGGCCTGCCAGTCGAAGACGAGCAAGACCGAGTAAACTGCGAAGCAGAGAGCCAAGACCCGAACCAGGTCTTATGCATAAAGCATACCTGAGTGTCCTCAAACTGAGGTCCAAAGCTTCCTGAGGTAGCACAACACGGAAGCAATCTCTGCACTTTCCACGAATCAATTAGGGTGGAGAGGGTGGGTATTTCAAATAAAACTCTCGCCCGATTCAGGGCTTCCTGCCCCTTCGAGAGGTCAAGCTGCAACGGACGAATGTATTCTTCAACTGGTTTACAGCATGTATAAATGAGTTCAATAAAATGGGCAGTGTAAAAGAAAAGCCCTAAAACAACAAACCAAAATTGGACTCAGTTCTCTGAGTCATTTTGTCATGTTGTTTTTCTTCGAACGGTAAAGCCATATCTTCTGCAAGTGTTCAAAGAATGTAACTTATCGTTCAAAGATCGTGCTTTGTGTTTTGATGTCTATCATGTTTGAACCTTCAGGGATGAATGCTTGCACTCACACATGTCACATGCAAGAAGTTCAAAGCTCGACGCTATTTTCACACGGTGGGGTAGCAAGTACCGCACACGGCAGATATCTTCGAACTGTCGGTCCTGTGAGACACAAGACTCTTTTCGTCCCCACTTCAAGGAGTCGCAGTGTTAAGCAGGCAGATTCGAAACTCTCTTCACAATCGATAACACCACTTTGGTCGCCTCGACAGACTCGTCCTTGAATCCTAGCTTCTTGACTCTATCAAGTTTCATCCTTGAGGGTTCGTCGGCCAGATTGGCTGGTGATGCCACTCTCGCATACCACGGCAAGATGCCGTGGACATACTCAAGGAAATTGACCTCATCGATAAGAATCCCAGCAACCCCTTTCTTCGAAGAGCCGGCGATGTATGCATGTCTCGCAGCATCATTATCGATATAACAAATCACTCCCGTTCCAGCCACAGCACCTGGCTGTTCGTATGATTCTGCGAAAGCAGCTGTCTTTTCGACCAAGAGCTTGAGACCGATCAAGACCCCGAACATTTCGAGCTCGTATATGATGGTATGCTCATCTTGCAACGACATAGACTTGGCTTGCTGCTCTGAGATCGGCACGCTGAAGAAAGAGAGTGCCGAGCCTGACCCGGTGAGAAGGACGCCCCCCAGGCCTCCAGTTCCTGACTCCGTTTCAAACGCCGCATCGGTCAGGATCATAAAAGTCCTGCATGAAACTTGTCCCACTAACCTCGGTTGGGCCATGTCAAGGAACTTACCAAACTCTTCAAGTCGTTCCTTGGCAATCGACGAAAGCTTCGACCTGCCAGTGTAGGCATGCTTTGTCACCTCCGTAAGGCACCGTCTTCCCAGCCTACCGAAAAACTGGGCTTGAGCAAACTGCAGCCTACCCCGCAGTTGTAGCGCTTCCTTCTGAGTCATGGTTCCCTTGTCCAGGAAACCTTTGATCGCAGCAGTAAGTTCCTTTCGTCGTTTCCCAGTGTTCCTGACCTTCAGAACTCCCGACCCTGTCTGGTCAAGCTCGAAAAGGACGCCAAGGGCCTCGAAGCTAGTGTCCCACTCTGTCGTCTTATCAGCTGACAGCTTCCAACCTAGCAGCCTCATAACTTCATCGAAAGCATGCGAACACGAACTCCTATCTCCTCCAAGAGCGAGCAGAACAAAATCGTCGAAATAATTCGTGGTCGGGATTCTGGCCCCTTTGACCAAGATAGTCCAAAGAGCTCTCGCCACTCTGAGGAAAAAATACACGGCCTTGGTTGAGCCGAAGGGCACCGCTAGTTGTTGGAACAACTTGGGCTTCTCCTCTGCCGGGTCGTAGACCGAGAGGTAAGAAAAATCTAAGCTTGTATCAGATACCGCCAATTGTCTGTAAGCTCCCTTCAGATCCGCCGTTTTCCCGTACAGTGCGTTCAGGTTCTTCTTTCGGGCAGCACTCGAAAGCGTATTTATCAGCAATGCAATTTCATCGATAGAGTGCGTGATAGGCTTTTCAGAAACTGTGACCGTGTCGTTAATCAAACTCGATGAGTAGTTGTCAATTGGTCGCAGGAAAACGGGAGCTGACCAAACATCTTTTCGGCAATGACTCGAAATCGTAAGGTCCTGAGAGGTATCCACTCTGTACCTCTTCCATCGTCTTATCCCACAACAGCTGGTCGATTTCCTTATCACCCGACGACCCAGTCTTCACCCGGATCTGCTGTCTGATTTCATCAGACATCCCTATAAGTTGTTCAGTATCCAACCTAGCAGGCTTGAGCTTGGTATCCAGCACCCCAGTGATAGGAATGTCCCCCGTCAGCGTGGCTCCGTCGATGAGCTCCTGAACCACACCCATATCGTCATACCCAATGTCTCGCAGCATCTCTTCAAATAGCAAGATACGTTTGGGTTGAAGGATCTTCCTTCTGTGATCCGACATGCCAGCTTTCAGCTTGGTTTCCTCTGGTTCCAACTCTTTGGCTCTTCTGGCCCACTTCTCGATGTAATTCTTCCTCTGAGAACGAACCGGTCCCGGTTTGTGTACTAAGTCATGAACGAGGTCTCTGAGATCCTTGTTGCACTTGGATAACTTATGGTATGGGTGTCCAATCTTGCCTGCTTTAGCAATGAATTCGATGGGATCCCATGGGATGCCCACTCGCAAAACTGAGGCTCCATTCAAGTTTTGCATTTCCTGCTGAAGTTGCGGGCTCAATTGCCCCCCTGACTGAGTACGCGACAGAAGCTGGGAATCCTGCGGGAGCAGCTTGAGCTCCGGCAACACGCGGGCGCCGTGCGGGACTCGCCAGTCCTGTTTGAGGCGTTTCGACCCGCCAAACGGGTCCTCAACCTGCGGTGGCAGAAGGACATAAACCACCAACTTCCACTCAGACACCACTTCCGGCATCGCCCCACGTGGCTGATTCAGCTGTCGCTGAGTCAGGCCTGCAATGAACACCTCAGCTATCGCCGTGGCAAAAGCCGGCGGATAACCTGTCTGCGCCTCCGATCGCTGCTGCACCTTACGTCCCATAGGTGCCGCCTCCCTGCGCACAGTGAGGATTTCGGGCATATTAGACCACACGAGGCTGCGCTGCTTGCTATGTGAGTCCCAAAGCTGCCAATCCAGCTCCACCCTATGCGGAGGGTGCTGTGCTGATGGTAAACGATTGAAACTCTCCCAAAAGGGGGAAGACGCCGAACCCTCAAGAACCATGGGCAGGTTGTTGCTCAAGCACCCTGCCATCACTGCCAGGACGAAAGCCGTAGTAACAGGCTCCGAGGCGTGTTTAGGAATACATATCATAACACCCGCGATCTTCCGGTTGTCAAGCCATGTTAGGACAGAGTCACACGCCTCCCGCGTCGACAAGTCCATCTGAAGCACTGGGGCCATGGCCGCCTTCTGCTTAAATCGATCCACTCCATAGGAAAAATAGCCCTGCTTAATCAAGGCCGAAGCCACACGAGCTTGACCTGCAAAGCACTGCAAAACGGCTCTGGCCGGCTCCTGAGTAGGCGGTGCCGGAGAAAAGTCCTCCGATGCCACGGGAGGTGAGGGGAGCGCCCCCTCGCTCTCTGTGCGCTCCAAGGCAAAAGGCTCAGAAGAAGCGCTCGGCATCGTAGGGGGATCCAAAACTGTAGGTTCTACAAAAATCGGAGAATCGTCGACATCTACCATCTCTGAAGCAGGGTCCACTCCCACTCCAACAGGCGGTGAGATCGATGCCGTGACATCAGCTACAGAGACGGCACCGGAAACGGGTTCTTCCGAAGGTGTCATCTCCACGTCCGACGCCAAGGCGGCGGTGCAAGGCGGCGGAGCCGCTAGTCACAGCTTCTTGGGCTTCAAGGGGCACTTCCCCACCGGGTGATCGCCACCGCACTTAAAGATGCAGCAAGTGTGATCGCCCTTCTGGCAGTTCGCATCCGAACATGTCCCGAGGTTGAAACCGTAACAGACCTTGTTGCCTTTGTTATTCCATGCAGATGCTCCCTGGAACCGAAGTCCCTCAGGCAACCATTCCGGTTTACCGGCTCCAGAGCCTTTGCCCTTGGGCGACTTGCCCTTGGCCTGCCATGTGTTTTTGCCTTTCCCTGTCCAACTATCAGAGCCCTTGAAGTTCCAACCGCCTTTACCTTTGCCATTCTTCCCCTTCCAGGGCGCATTATCGCTGTAAGGACCCGGGCGCCCGCCACGGCCATTAGCATTCTTGCCCTTACCATCCAAATCACCCATAGGCAGAAGAGCTACAATTAGGTCATAATCGTGAAGGATAGCCCCGATCGCGGCATCAAGCGGGAGAGTGCCTGAAGCATCTGCCCGGATATCCTCACCTGCCTCCGACAACTTGGAGAAGGCAAGCTTGTCAGCCCGCAAGATCTGACGAAGAGACACCTTCCTGTAACCAGGCTGAGCGGGCTTGGTCAAATACCTGAACAAGGAAGAAACATAAGCTTCATGTCTTTCCCAACTGATCAAGCGAGCAAATGCGTAAGCCACTCCTCTGCGGCGCAGGGCATTAAGGACCTGCAAAGAGCCCTCAATGTCACGATCATCCATACCAGCAGCCTCCGTAACCTTCAGCTTACCGCCTTCCAAGGAAAGACTGGTGGTCAAAGGCTTAACGTTTTGAACCTCATCCTCGCCTATGACACTTCTCCGGACCAATGTACTTCAGGCAGCGACTCTCCCACTGCTGAACGGCCATGTCAAGTAATGCATGACTCGGCTCAAGCTGTCCAGTGAGCGAAACTCCGGCGAGCTGAGTCCGAAGCTGATCCATGCGAGCATTCCGCTCGGCTACCCCCACCTTTTTAGGGGAAGCGTGTTCAGCAGGTTCTGCCAGATCCTTCAAAGAAGCCACTAGCATGGTCTGAGCTTCCAAGATCAGGCGCCTCAGAGACGCCTTCTCGCCCACCGTGATGCCTACCAACATGGCCTCGCTCCACGTGTCAAACTCAGTCTGAGATAGCACCTGTCCCGGTTGTCCGACACAAAAGGCCAGCTGGGCCAAAGTGGTGACCCCTTTACCTTTCAAGGCATCCACTACTCGCTTGGCAAGCGAGATTTCATCCGCTCGCTGCACAAAGAAAGGCGCCGAATCTACGGAACTCGTCATGGCTAAGTACCTGGCAACCGAAAAGGCTAGCGAGGACGCAGCTCTCACAATGCACACCGAGCACGATACTAGGACAGCTGTTGGCTTTTCGAGCAGGCTAAGAAATCAAACTGCGCTCCGTGGGAAACACTTGGCACATTGCGGGTGCGCTTGCGCCCGAGCCATAGGAATGCGCCGATAATGATCGCCAAAAGCTCGGCCACACAAAAACATTGCCGACCCCAAAGTCGTGCGATGCAGGACCTGGCTAGTCGGATGAGCCCAGAAAGATTGTTCCTCCGGGGCTTCTTCATCAGAGTCTGAAACATCAGAAACCACAGCCAAAGCCTCATCTTGGTCATCTTCCACCGCCGCCTGCAGGACTTCCGAGTCCTGTGGAAAAGCAGCCGCCTGCAGGATGGACTCCCGAGTCCAACCTGATGAGAAATGACCCGAACGAGTCTGGTCCGGCAGGAACTTACCCGTCGCCACTGCATCCAGTACGACAACGTACTCACGTAGTGCCGCGCTCTGCAACTCACGCCCATAAACTGCATCACTGCCAGTCGCTGCATCCGCGTGATGGCCTAAAACTCGCTTGGTCTCGCGAAGCATCCCGAATTTGCTACACCAAACAAGTGAAGTAACCTTCAATGAGTGCGAACTGACGGCCTGCTCCGTCGAGGGACGTGGCAGTAGATACCTCAGCCACCTGGTGATCTCGCTGCTAGACAACGGGTCTGAAGACCAAGATCCATCCGGCAGAGGTGCCGGCAGGAATGGGACATCAGCCTGATCGTTCGGCAAGCAGCCTCAGCCCTAATGTCCAGGAGGAGCTGACCAAAAGGCGTTTTAGCAATACCCTGGCCGGGAATCACCAGAGGCAGTATACGGCGTCGTTGAGTGTCCAGCCTATTGACGTCTTGTGTTCAAGCGTCCCTAGTTCAATGAAGCCCGAACTCCAGTCCTCGTTGTGCACGTCTATCAAGATACTTTTGACACACCGGATGTCCGATGCTCGCGCCCTCGCGTAGAGCATAGCAAGGAAATGTGCCGCCCCGCATCTATCAATGACAGAAATATCGCGATCACAGCAGATCGCGTGCAACTGGAGAACTTCGGACACCTTGAGGGGTGACGCCGGGCACCACGGGTTTTTAGTCTGTAGCGCCTTCTTCACCACACCATGAATTCGAGGACTGCTGAAGACCTCTAGTTGAACGCGTAGTCCCAAGGTATAATAACTCCACTTGATAGCACGCAGACTACTGTCCAGTGTGGTGGCCGCGGTCTTAGGCATCTTGAGGACACAATGAATGAAAGACCACAAGACTTTTTCCGCAAAAGGCGGAGTCTGACTTGCTTTCAAAAGCCACTCGCAAAAAGTACGAACCGGACCCACATGTTTCAAGATGGTGTTCGGTGATTTCCCTGCCAAAACTGCCTGAACAGAATCCGGGCCGTCCTCCTCGTCATCCGCCATCAAAGTACACAGGTCAAAGAAACTCGAAAAGGCATGAAGTAATGTGAGGACCCGGCGGTACGCCTCGTCACGACGATCCGCGGCCCTAGGCCCTCTTTTTGCCTTGACTGCTCGAGTCCATGCCTGACAATGAGATCCACTCGTCACCGGATTCCCGGAATCTGAAGGCTGTGCTGCCGTCTGAGGAACAGACGACGCCGGGACCACTCCCTGATAAGGCAAGTTCAAGCCCTGAAGGAAAGCCGCCTTCAATGGATCGAATATGCACAGCATAGCCGGCTGTTCCCAAGGCTGCCGAGGCAGCGACGACCGAGCATGAGTGATGCTTCGCATGAACACTTCATTCTCACTCGCTCTAGGGTCGTGGCCAGACATCGCAAGAAACCCTGGCAGGAACGACGCCCCACCAAACCGGTCAAAACTTGAACCGACAGTACGTGAACAACAAGCTGCCAACGAGGAAACTACGCCGCTGGGAATCTCCCCTCGCAGCATACACGAAGCGTAGCAGACACCACTCAGGTCTGACCCCCCCGAGGCGGGACAGATGGCACAACTTTTCATGTCGCGATTCCCGACGGTCTGCCACTCCCTCGTGGTTCATAAGGATAGTATCCACCACCTCTGGTGTGAGCAATGCCAGCAAAACCAAACTAGCAAGCTATAGAGCGCCAATAGATGACTCAGCACAACATTGGCATTAGCTTACAATAACAACAATGCTCACATCTGCAGGGATAATGCCGCTCAACACGGCCACCCTACTGCGATTCCTCTCATAATCGCGTGTTTTGGGGAGATCAAGAAGTGATCCCCCGACCTGACCGAGCCAGCGTCCCGGCAACAGATCTGCATCATTTCGTTCCCCCCCTCCACAGAGGGGGTGCTCCGTGGCAGCTCGCACTCTACGAGGATAATCGCACCACCCAGGGCTTTAGCCCGACTCGCGCATTTTGTCGCTGCACTTTCCAGTGCATCTCGCGACAGTGCGACCAATGAACCTCGTGCCGAAAAGCCGAAGCAGGGAATTCCCTGATCGCGATAATCGTTCACCGCGATCTCCCCTATCTCCGCCACGCCGACTAAAGATGGGAAAGATGTACCATGAGCCATGATAGCAGAGTGTTCCGAGTTCGGATTGCGGATATAGCTTGGCCCGCGCAATTCGCAGGATAAGATCAAAATTCGTTGCCCAGGCACCCGAAAAATGTGAGCATCGGGTCCGACGACGCCCGCCACAGGATTCTCCCCCTCGAGGGGGCGGCCGTAAGCCCGAAAGGCAGCAAGGACCGTGGCCACTCGGGATATCACAGAGGCCGGGATCGGACCTTCAAGTCCTTCCAAGAATTCCTTGTATGCAGCCGTGTCGGGGAACTTTTCGACGACGGCCTTCCAAGGCATCTTCCACCACTGCAGTTTGCCTTGCTCTGCCAGTTCCCGAGCTGACAATGGTCGAGTGGGGTCTGCGCGCGCTTCATCCTCCGCCGACTTCCACAGAGCTGCGAGGTACGACGCTTCGTCGTCCGCCTCGTCCTGATCAGCCTCTTTGGCAGCCCGACGGGCGTCGGCCGCGGCCACTTCAGAAGGAGTGGCCTCCTGAATGTTGCGGTGGTCTGGATCCGTCCAAGAGGACTGACGGCCCGACCCTCGAGTCTCACCCGACCCCTGGCTGGACCGATGCCACTGGTTCCAGCGCTTGTTCCATTGGCCCTGCTTCTGCTGGCCTCCTCCGCGCCAGGGCTGGCGATTCCAAGTAGTCTGCTGCTGAGGTACATGCACAGCAGGGGCAATCGGGGCAGGTGTCGAGGGAGGCGGCAAAGGTGGCTGCACCGGCACCACTGGTACTTGCCTCCATTCGTATCCCGGCGCTGCTGCCGGCAGCTGAGGCAATGGCGGGGGAAAAGGCTCAGCAGCTCGCGCTCCCACCGATCTTGATTCCCGGTCGCGCCTGCGATCACGGTTTCTGCTCCTCGAGCGCTCAGAGCTACTCGAGGGGGAGCGCCGACGGCGCCTATACGCCTCTCACTACCGAATGGGGGCATCATCGGCCCCATCGGTCCCATTGGCCAGGGAAACATCCCCGCGTCACACACTCAGCACGTAGCTGAAACCGGGCTCCAGCCCTCCGAGACTCTGTCAAGCGCTTCGGCGCCTTGTCGAACACCCAGCACCAGGCTCCTGCCTTGCTTGCTGCTCTGAATCTTTTTTTTTTGGGCCAAAAGGGATTAGCAGACAAACGTCACGTACGAAGGTGCCTCTGCACGCACGCAACCTCTGGCGTACACACTCACATCGAAAGCGCTCTTGCGCATGTTTTCCGCCTCCGAGGCGCTTCATCGCTGGCTCTCACCAGCATCCGGCCTGAGCACACAGAAAAACTCCCAAAATCAAAGTTGGCGACGATGCAATCTCTCCACATTCCGAGGTGTGGGTATAACGATCTGGGGTCCCGGCGATTCACGAAGTCTGTCAGGGCACTCGCGAACATAATGACAAGGGCAACGTAGGCCTGCGCGAACTAACATCTTCGCAACAGCACGTGTCTTGCCAATTCGCGGTGGGGGAGGTCCTGGCCGCCACACCGCAACGAAGGTGAACTCTCCAGAAGTCTGGAGTTCCTCAGGGGCCGTCTGCATGCCTGATTCAGCCATTGGCACGATGTTCGTAGCAGGCTCATTAGAGCTGCTCGCCTGCTGCTGTATATCAAACTCAGCAATCTCTGCAGAATCCGAGCTCCTCACGAGCTTCTTGCCGGTCTTCTTAGATGGCTTCTTGCGGGCTCGCCGGTCCCGTCCATCCTTCTTTTTCTTCTTTTTGTTTTGTCGGTTCGTCTGAGCCGGCTCATCTAAAAAGTCGAAAGCTGAGCTCCACGAAGACATTTCCGCTTCAGTCTCCAAAACCTCTTCCGGGTTGGTAGTATCCGACATTCCCGCTGAGGTGCTGGCAATTGCCTGAAACACAACGGCTGCAAACGTAGAGCAGACGAAAAAGAGGACCTGTGCATTCTCATCCTGCCTGCATGCTGCAACAACACACATCAGTCTTAGTCTGCACAAACTCTCCTGTCAGCGAAGCATCGGGCTTGTTTTCTTCGGTTCGGGCCGAAGCCATGTGTCTGCAAGAACACTGGTTAGTACCATGCAGACAAATACGAGCATGCACTTGTCTTGGCCAAAACGAGGCAGCAATTGCTAGGCAATGCTGCTGTGCTCTGATCGGGCAACAAAAACACCTCAGTGCAAGTCGCAGCTGCTGGTGATTAATTACGGGCGTCTGGCTCAGGAGACTCTCCCCGTTTGCGTTTCCTGAAGGCTGGCTCCGAGGTTGCTCCTGGTGCAAGATCTCGACCGATATCGTCTCGTCGGGAATCTTCCCGTCTTGCTAACTCCAAGCTACGCCATAGCGTATGCCAGATCTGCACCCAACGGCCCTGCGCGTCCACATGCCAAAACCACTTGCGACCCTCCATGACACACAAAGAAAAAGCGCGCGGGCCCAAACTGAAGTGTCATATCTGAAGTACTCTCTCGCAATCCGAGGGCAGCACAAATAATCAGCAAGTTCCCGCAGCCAAACATACACTCAACTCAGGCGTTTATCGCCCGCCTTTCTTTTCCTCTGAGCAAGACACATGCTATGCAAAGTCTCACTACTGGAGCTGAGGTTCCAGCAATCCGCGAGGAGCATGCTCCGGATCAGAATTTCGGCCAGCCCAAAACTTCCAACGAAGAAAGCAAGAATCGAGCAGCTGCTGAGACTCCAACTGCGAAATGCGATTGAAAAGGCGGTCAGCAAGCATGAGCTGCATGCTATGCAGCCGACTGATCTGGATCTGTAACCCACGCATGTGGTGTAACACAAAGCTCTCAGTGGATGTAAACGAATCCGAGGGTGTCGGCGCCTCTGCTTCTCCGCCGGTCACTTCAGGTGATTGCATACTCCTGAAACACAGGCCAGTACTTCGGTCACACACCGAAAAAGCAACAAAGCTTCAGCTAAGTAGGCAACCGCGAGATCACTCTGCAAGTTGAGCAGGATACTGTAAGCTCAAAGCTCAAGACACACTCAAGCAGAAGATTCACTTCATCAAGACCTCCCAGCGAGAGACTGAGGCACAAGCATCCGGCCCGCCCCCCTATTTCAAATAAAACTCTCGCCCGATTCAAGGCTTCCTGCCCCTTCGAGAGGTCAAGCTGCAACGGACGAATGTATTCTTCAACTGGTTTACAGCATGTATAAATGAGTTCAATAAAATGGGCAGTGTAAAAGAAAAGCCCTAAAACAACAAATCAAAATTGGACTCAGTTCTCTGAGTCATTTTGTCATGTTGTTTTTCTTCGAACGATAAAGCCATATCTTCTGCAAGTGTTCAAAGAATGTAACGTATAGACTTAGCATACACTTATAACCCTTTCGTAACACACTTATACTCCACCCTATCTTGCCTATATCATTATAACACAGCGAGGATTCCAAGCATGCCCAGATTCTGCACGGAGCAGTGCGTCTTCGAGATGAGCGTGACTCCCTTGCCGAGCTCCGAGAGCTGCGTCACGATTTGCTTCGCCAGGTGCGTCTTCCCCGTCCCGGGCATCCAGCAGCAGGCTCTTTCCCTCCAGGCAGTGGGCCACGGGGTCCGCCACGTGCCGCCACGGGCCCTGCTGCGTGGCTCGCTGTACTCCCCGGAAGAGGGGTGTGGTGGAGTCCCGCCGCTCACCCCGACAGCGCGGCTGGTCTCGCGGCTCGCCGTCGTAGGAGGCCACGGCGCGGGCGCTCCGATAAAAAAAAGCGTGGTTCCGGTAGATGCAGCAGGCCACGGGCCTGTGCTTCCGGTCGAGCGGTTCGTAGCAGTCCAGCAGCTGCCCTCGGCAGTTCACGATGAAGAGCGGCGCCTTGCGCCACTCGCAGAACTCGCGCATTTGCTGGCCCGTGACGCCCTTCTTCTGCCAGCGGCTGCCAGCCCCTGGGGCAAATAGCGTCGAAATCGGAGTGTTATAGACCTCCTCGTCGGAGCCCCGGTAGAGCTGGTAGAATACGTCCCGCAGGACGCCCAGAGGTCGGTTCAGCGTCTCCTGCGTCTCGACCCGATTGCCGACCACTCTGCTTGGAAACGCCCCAGTCCCGCAAGGCGTCGTAGGTGTAGACCTCCTCGCTGAGCATGACGACGTCCCCGTCCTCAGAATCGCCATCTTCCGCTCTCCAGGGTCACTGGCGGTGAACTTATCCCGGAAGAAGCTCTTGCCCAGCTTCGTGACGCGATAGGAGCCGTCGGGCTGCAGAGCACGAACCAGCCTCTTGGCACTTCCCCTGAGGTAAATGTAGTCGTTGGGCCCTTCGCGCACGAGCTGCTGCTTCGTCGAAGCGCCGCGAGGGCGGGCGACGTCCGGCGAGCTAGAAGAACTGCCCGGCGCGGGTGGGCTGCCCGTCGGGTTTGCTCAGGAGAAGCTGCTGACTGCTCGGCAGCCGCAGGAGCTCGGAGCCCTGGGCGGAGGTCCTGGCGGAGGCGCCGGCCTCGACGGCCCGGCGGATGTTGTTTCGTTGCTGTGCCCAGGATGACATTTCTTGCCGGCCCGGCGGAAGCCCGGTCGCTCAACGCAGCTAGAAGGGACTTGCGGGCTTGGACGGCTCGGGCTGCTCGAGCATGACGTCGGTGATCTCGGCGAGCACGCCGCACTGAGAGGTCATCAACCAAACCTGGCGGAACTCCACGCTGCGCTGGTCGCGGCTGGAAGGTTCGGAGAGCTGGGCGGCGACGCGGTCCTCGAGGTCGCAGAAGAAGGACCTGGTCGAGTCGTCGGGCTCCAAGCACACGGACACGCGCACGGCCTCCGGTTCGCCAGCACGAGTTCTGCCACAAACGTTTCAGCCAGTCGCTCTTCCAAGTGGGATGGTCGCCTGCTTCCCCGCGGAGCGGCAAATACTTGCCTCCCTTGGAGTTGGCGAGAACGTTCCCGATCAGGAAATTCATGGCTCCGGTTTTCTCTCCGGCAACATAAATGCACTGGCTCACTGAACGCACCGACGGCCCCCTGAGCCTCGGAGAGTTCGTCTGCCTCTCCCCCTGGCCGCCGCTGTGGCCCTTCTGTGGCTCATCGCGAAACCCTGGGAGGAACCGGAGATGCAGCCCTGCCTGACGGGGGAGCGCATCTATTCGTAAATGCGCCGGTTGCTCGAGCTTTTTTCCGGCACCGGCTCCGTGGGCCGCGCCTTCGAAGCGCTGGGCTGGAAGGTCACGAGCCTGGACGTGGAGGGCGAGCCCACCATCAAGTGCGACATCCTGGACTGGGACTACCGGTCACTGCCCCCAAAGCACTTCGATGCCGTGGGCGAGCCCCGTCTCGAAGGCTCTGACCACGAGGCCGCGGCGCCTGGAGGAAGGGGACCGCCTGGTGCAGAGGACGCTGGAGATCATCGACTACTTCCAGCCCCGGGACTGGGGACTGGAGAACCCGCAGACGGGGCTGCTCAAGACTCGTCCTTACATGGAGGGCCTCCCTTCGCCGACGTGTGCTACTGCCACTACGGCTACCCTACCGGAAGCGCACGAGGATCTGGGGCAACCTGCCCTTCGTTCCGCGACTGCTGTGCTTCAAGGGCTCGCGCTGCGCGGGGTTCCGGGACGGGCGCCACCCCGTCAGGGCGCAGCGCGGCGCCCAGCAGCAGCGGCTCTGTGCGCCGACCTCGCCGCGAGCGCCTCCCAAGTAAATGTGCCTCTACGAGTGCTTTTGGAGTAAAGGGCATGGGAAAAGTGAAACTCTTTCCCACCGACGAGTACACGTCAAAACAGCCACGCGACCCGATCGTTCCCCGCGCGCCGTGCACTGGGATCTTCCTCGGGCCGAGCAAATCGGGGAAGACGGTGGCCTTGATCTCGGCGATCCTGGATCAGTATCTCACGAGCGGCGGAGACTCGGTTTTTGAGCGAATTTACATCTTCTCGCCTAGCATCGAAATCGATGATGCTTGGAAGCCCGTGAAGCATTTTATCGAACACAAAATGGGCGTAAACACCGACCGGGAGCAGGTCTACTTCGACAAGTGGGACGAGGCGGCCCTTCGTGGAATCATCGACCAGCAAAAGAGAATCACCCGCAAAACGAAGGAGTTGGGCTTCAAAAAGCTATTTGAGGTCTTGGTGGTGATCGACGACTTCGCCGACCAGCCGGAGCTCCACCGGCGCACCGGCGACGGGGCGCTGGACACATTATTCATCCGCGGGCGCCACATGCAAATCTCCACATGGGTGTCGAGTCAAAAGCTGCGGCTCATCAGCGCCGCCGTGCGCGTCAACATGCAGTTCATGTGCATCTGGCGCCTGCGCAACCAGCTCGAGCTGGAGGCCGTCCTCTACCAGGAAGCGACGCGGGAGCCCTACAGCTTCCTGTTCATCCACTACCTGAAGCCCCGCGCCGAAATGTTCTACAAGCGCTGGGAGGAACGTTTTGTCATCGAAAATGGGGAACCTGCTGAGCCAGATGATGGGGAAGCTCCTGGGGGGCGGCCCGCTCTGCGACGCTGAGTGCAACAATCTGAGCTGCTGCACCAGCACGCAGCGGGTGATCGACCCACGCTGGCCCTGCCCCGAACGCCCCCGGCAGATCAGCAACGAGTCCGATGCCTCCACGGCCCGGAGTTTCTTCCGTAAGAAAAGGCACCTTATGACCACGATCTACGTCGACTCCCGGAAGCGCGTGGCGGGGGACGACTCCTCGTTCGAATTTGACATCGGTGAGACCATCCACCTGCAGACGGGCGCCAGGCTCTCGGTGCTAAAGTTTCGGGTGGCCGACGCCTTCCTCAGCACGGACCGCGGCTTCTACAGGTACTGGATCGACGAGGCCCTGCAGACCCTCAACTGGGCGGTGCTCCCGGTGGGCGCCTACACCGGCGCGCGCCTGGCCGCCTGGATCAGCAGCAACTACGGCTCCGCCACTTACGTGGAGCAAACCAACGAGATCGGAGTGGCCTACGACGGGAACAGGCGCATCTTGAACGACTATGAGATCCGGAGCCTCTTCCCCGGCTCCGGCTCCTATCCCGCGGGCGCCACGCCTACCCGCCCCCTGAGCATCAACCATCTCCTACAACCCTCGTTCATCGAGGGCCCCCTCCAAATCTTCACGTTCGTGACGATGAACCCCTACAGCGAGCTCTTCCTGCGCTGCTCCACGCTGGCCACCGCCGCCGACATCAAGGGCCCCCTGGGTCAGGACATCGTCGCCAAAATGATCATCGACAAAGGCATCGGAAACATTATGCAAACGAGAACGGATGAAGGCCATTTCGTCAATTTGCACGGCCCAATTACTTTACGCACATTACGCTTCAAATTGACAGACGTCGACGGAAATGTGGTCAACACTCGCGGCACCTCCGTGTCCTTTGCGATTTTCCTGGACACCGACACTTAAATCTTGATTAAAGCAAAATGGCGGTGGAAAATGAGCCCGTGGTGGAGGAGGCTCCTCA